GTTTAAGTATTACCCCTCTCTATCACTTAGGTAGGAAACTGAATACAATTTGTTTTTGGAATTATGTAGCTCATGCCAATAAAATTTGAAATACTTAAGTACTATTCACCCATTATGTCTTAACCAATTTGTTGGAGACAGTAAGGGGGTTACACAGAAAAACCTAAACAAATACCGAGCCTTGCCTTTAGAAAGTCTACAGTCTACTTTGTGATATTCACTCTCTACACCACATACACCCCACACCCCAGGATGAAGCTAATAGCACCCGATGACTAAAGAATGCAGGTGGTTATTTTAGAAAGAGAATATACCATTGCAGTAAAGGAAAGGTCATAATGTGGAAAAACTGACAGTAATTCAATTTTGATACATAATTTTTCATGGCACAAATGATTGGATGTTTTATCACATGCACAAAGTTGGTAGCTTTTATCTCTATATGTTTATGCATTTCTTCAATAGCTTATATAGGTATCATAAAGAAATCTCCTTAAGGAGATTACTGAATAAAAATGCAAATACAGAAACTAATTGCTTGTGCTGGTTACAAATCAGAATTGTGGTCCTAGCCTTGCATATTTATTAATAATGGAGAAAATCCACTGATTTCCAAATTTTCATTCTCATGGAAGCTGTATTTTAAACAAATAGAAACTTAAAAACCATTTTGAAACCTAAGTTTCAAACCCATTTTGAAATGTCAAGCCATTTTAAAGAAAGTAAGCAACAGAAGGAATCTGGATAATGGACTTTGTGATAGTCAATTCAAGGGCATTTTTTTTTCTTTCTTTAGTACAAGGAAAAATGCTATTCAGCAATGCCAGATTTGTACATTGTAGTGTGGTAGAAAGAACCCAAGACTGAAAGTCATGAGGCCTGAGTTCTAGTCCAATCTTTGCAGCTTATTATTAGCTGTATGATCTCGGGCAAATCATCTCATCTTTCTAGTATTTCCATTTGTTTACTTTCAACGAGCATATTGGGCCAGAGTATTTTGTTCTCTCTCGCTTTACAATCCCATGGTTATGTAATTCCTGTCTCCGGAGTTGACTTTTTTTTAAAGCAGATTGAGAGGTTCAGTCACGCTGTTAAAGATTTATATATTTGGAAGCTGAGTGTACCAATTTTGAAACTTTCATTACTCACTTTTGTACTTTTTGGAGATTAGGTTTTAGAGATTAGGCCAGAAGCCTTTTTTCTTTAGTCGCCAGTGTAGTGCTATCCAAGCAAACTTTCTGCAGTGCTCTGTGTTCATGCTGTCCAATATGGTCGCCACTAGCCACATGTGACTATTGAACATTTGAACTGTGGCTAGTGAGACTGGCAACCGGAGTTTTAATTTTATGTGATTGTAATGTATTGAAATTTAAATGGCTTCCTATTGAATAGCACAACTCGAGAGTGATTTTGTGTGTGTGTGTTTGCTTGCACATATATGTGGAGTACGAAGTGGGGTGGCAGGAAGTAAAAGAGAGTGAGAGACCATTATTTTGGATGATGGGATGCTGCCCATCACCCAAATACTTAAACATGAAATATCTTCACAAAAGTACTGGGAAAATGCTAGAACTTTTTATTTTAACTTACCAGCTCTCTTCAGGATACGTATAGAAAGTGGAATGTACCACATTTCAGGAGCTATTTTCTACCTTTCTTTTTTTCTTTTTGCATTCCATTATATATTATGATAACCACTTTTATTATTTTTTGTTGAGATATCATTGACATGTATGCTAACCATTTTATATATTAGAAAACAGATTGGTAAAATAATTGTATGGTTTTCTAATTAACCTATTGTTTCAAAGCTGTATGTTCCCAGTATGTTAAACATGGTCCACTAGTTTAAATTTTACTGTCTTACCTATCCTTAAAGTCTTTTGTTGTGTGGATCAATGAATGGAGTTTATGAGGCATCAGGAATGTGCTGGAGATTATTCAGTATTTGAAGTAAAGTGATATGGTTTAGAATCATGAATTTACTCCTTGCTGTGTGACCTTGTATAAGTTATTTATCTGCTTTGAGCCTCAGCTTCATCATCTGTGAAATAAGGATAATAGCAGCACTTGTATGATTTTTATGAGGATGACATTAGACGGTGAGTTATGTAAAGCACCTAATATTGTCTGGTAACTAACAACAACAACAACAACAACAACAATGACAACTTGGGGTTTTGTATTTATCTGTGAGTTCAGAATCCACACAATGGGTATTTCATGTTTATAATTAATAATATATTCTGCCCTTTAAACTAACTCCATTTTAAAATTTTGATTTTGTAGTTATAAATAGTGTCAATTATTTTGATTTTGAATTGATTTTGTTGCTGTCCTCTGAAAAGGGCAGTAATTGTGTGGTAGTATAAAGGAATGGAAATATTTAAGATGACTAGTGTTTTCTACATTTATACAATATAAATATTTCTATAAAAGAGCATTGCTTTAAAAAATTATGTTGTAAAATGTCATGACAATATGCCTTTTCATCGTATGTTATTTGTAATTAAATAGATATCTATTAGAATTTGATAAATAGTACATTGACAAACCAGTGCTGTTACCTCTTTCACTACTGGGTTCATTGTCTCCTAATTATCTTATACTACAGTCAACAGATGCAACTTTTTTTTATTTTGTTGTATAGTCACAAATGTGTGTAAAGTGAGTATTTAATAGAATCGCAATATATATCTTATTAAATGTAAAGTTATTTTGATGCGGATATATTCATTAATTTTATTGACTATTTCTATCAGCTCCTGATCTAAGTACTTTTATTTGTATAAAGGAACAATTCCAAGACTCATTAACTTGTTTCTTATGGAAATGTTCTCTTTACTTGTAGGGTATTAATACAAGCCATTAAGCTAGAATTTCTTCTGGCAAAAACAATCCTAGCAGATGGCAACTTTTCTCTCTATTAATTTTGGATTGGACATGTACTTTGGCTCGTTCCGTCATGTCATAGTTGTAACATTAACAAGGGTCATTCAGGCAAATACAGTCATAATATAGCGATGGGCTTGTAGAATATAGACACTTATATCCCAGCCTGGGGTAACTATATGAAGACTTCAACATGTTCTTATTGTAAATAGAAAGGTGAAGGAATCTATTAAGGCATAAGTGTCATAATAATTTATCTGCTATGTCTTTTAAAGTAATGCCAAGTCTATGATTTTGTCAGTTGTATAAGTGTTTCAGTTTGACATTTGAGCGTTTGTATTGTAGGAATTAGGCTACATTGTTCAATTAGCATGAAATATCTGGTATTGCTAGAAACAACCTCAATTGTCCACTTTAAAGCATGTAGCTTTTGATTTTTGAACCTGGATGTGAGATAAATGGGCTAATCTACCCCTCCAAACACCTTGAATGCAAAAGGTATAGATATAAAAATAAAGACAATATTTTAATCTTTTCTCTCTACTTCAAAATAATAATTATCATAGTAATAGGTCTGGATAAATCAAGTCAAAATGCATTTGAAATATGTTTTTTGATAGTTTGTTTTTCTCATACTACTTTTTTTGTGTGAGTCACAAAAACTTTATTGGTACAAGCAGACAGCAGGCCAGATGAGACCTGTGGGCTGCGGTTGGCCCATGGTCTGTATTTTGCTGACGGCTAGTCTCAGTACTTAATTAATCCTGACAGCCTCAGCAGGTTGTTTGTTGCTCAGAGGAGGGATGGAGGCTTGTGGATGAGGGGGGTGACCTGATGAGTCTTGGGTGTCCCTGTGGGATATCCAGGAACAGGTACGTTCAGGTACAGCTGGATTTGTAGGTGGGAACAGAAGAGGGGCGAAGACAGAGGCCAGGGTCCCAGCCCAGAAGAGGCCCCGGTGTCTGGGGCACACTACGTAGATGAAGTAGATCCCATCTAAACTATTAGCCAGTTACCTTAGACTTGAGCGGTATTTTCCAAAAATGCTGTTCACGAATAATGTATGGAACATCTGGCAATTAGCATTTGATTGATTCCTTTTGCCTTTCAATTACCGGGAAAAATCCCCTTTTATAGTAGGGGCCCTCAATATCAGAAAGTAAGAAAAATGAAACCCATTTTCCAGTGTCATTATAATTAATGAGTCATCTGCACTTGAAAACAAGTGGTTACCAGACAGTAAGGGGTGAGGGAAGTGGTAGATGAGGGTAAAAGAGGTCAAATATATGGTGATGGAAGGAGAACTGACTCTGGGTGGTGAGCACACAATGTGATATATACATGATGTATTACAGAATTATACACCCGAATCCTGTGTAGCTTTCCTAACAATTGTTACCCCAATAAACTTTAATTAAATAAAAGAAAACAAGTCCTTATATTTACTTTATCGTTCATGCACATTAGTATTGGTGTCACTGTACCTTCTATTTGATCTTAATACACTTAATTCATTTTTATATGTAGTAAATTAATTCATCTTAATGTATGTATTTTAATACTCTAATTTTGTGCAAATCCATCCCAGTAATAGGATACAGAGAGTATATATATGTCAGTGTAATGATTTCTACAAGTTAGCCCTGTAGCCTGCTTAACATCAGGGTGCTTTTAATAACTTTATTTGATTTATTTTAAAAAGGTATTTATAACTATATAAAATTGAGGCCAATTGTACTCTTAGGACAGTTAGATATGCAAGATACATTTCATGATCTTTTGAAAGGGCTCTCTATGCATACTTTTGGAACTTAGAGTTTCTCAGAAAGACTTTAATATTCCTTCAGATGGTTTAGCAAGACGTAGCAGTACTTGATCATCCATGATATCTTCATTCAAAATTTTTTGCACATTAGAGACTTTATTATTAATTTTGTTGTTTATACTGTAAAATCGTAATCATCCTTAAACTTGTACAAATATTTGCATTTCTTATTTTTTAGAATATGGATATATGAGTTTAGTGAATGGAATAATAATTGAATGCATTAATTAAATATTTCTTTAATTGAAAGTTTTTTAAAACACAGTTTGCTTTCTAATTGCAGGTGGCCTGCATGCAGTTAATAAATGCCCTTGTCACTTCACCTTATGAGCTTGATTTTCGAATACATTTAAGGAATGAATTCCTCCGTTCAGGACTAAAAGCAATGTTACCAGTAAGTTGAGTGTACACATTTATTATGCTGTTGAACTTCAACATTTTTCTTTCTTTAGATAAAAGTACTTTCAATAGAAAATAAATGTGCCTTGCTATTTTCTTTTGTAAAGCATTAGACATTTTATAAGCTTTTTTATGTTACAGTAATATTAGTCTTTATATACAACTGATGATTCAAAATTCAGCTGATGTGTCCAAAAGTGGTCGTTATGTTTTGTGTGTGTGCGTGTGTGTGTGTGTGTGTGTGTGTGTTCATGTTCTTGAAGTCGAAAGGGAACTTCTTTTCTTTGAATTTGAATGCCGACAACATAACAGACTATTTTTTTGCAGTTTCAATTTTCATTTAAAATTTTTTGCCTCCCTCTTTGATAACTAAATTGATTTCATTTATATTCAGCATAAGTATGCATAGAATTTTGATTAGTATATTCTAGATACATTACTTTAAAATGGTATTCTTGTTACAATGCTGTAAGAACTTGACTAAAGAAAAACAATTTTATTTCTTGAATGTTAGCATTTGTTCTAATTGTGATACTGTTAAAAACATTTTTGAAATCACTTTATAGGCTAATAAATGAGCACACTTATTCTTTAAATACAAATACGACAACTGCAGCTTTATATTTTATTTAGTATATTTAGCGGAAGAGGGATTTTGTTCAAGACCATGGTATTGTTGAAGGAGACAAGTAAAATCTCAGTGGTCTCTTCATTTAAGCTACTGAGATCACACCTGAGAAAGAAGACGTAGAAGTAAGGGACGAACAGAAAGGCGTGAAGAAAGAAAAGCAAAACAAATGCCATTGAGCATGTAGTACTAAGGAATTGGTTGCTGTGAATCAACGCAGCATTTTAAGTGACCCGTACAGAAGTTTATTATGCAGTTAACTTAGGCACATTCACTAGTTGTAGTGTGTATAACATATTATTTTTGTTTTGTCACAGATCTATCTTCATGAAAAGTCTGTGGCTTTAGATAGCTAGAGATAGTGTTATAGCCTTGACTTAGTTTGCTTTTGAGTTGCCTACTGATTGGTTTCCATGCTTGGCCTCACTGGGCTGGTTCTCTGTTTCTGGGAGAGTAATCATGTCTTTGGGCACTTGTTGGCTATAGGGGCTCCATGTTTTCTGCCTTAGGTGTTGTTACTAGTATTCAGGCTGATAGATCCTGAGATTAGAGATTCATTCTTTAATACCATAGATTTCACTGCTGCTGCTGTTTTTCTTGTAGTTTTGTCATCATAATATGGAGCACAGTTCAGATGGTCATGCTTTAATGTATACTAGATGTACCTAACATGTCACCTATCTCATTAACTCACTATTAATTTAATAAATATTTAAATTTAAACCACTAGACTTTATAGTAACATTAAACGTATTTTACACATGCACTGAAACTTAATGTATTTGTAGATGAGTCTTCAAAATCCTTACCTTTTTCCTATTTGTTCTTATTTTGTACACTGTTCTAACAAGAGCAGCTCCCTAATTTGCTAGGATATTGCATTCAAGGTAGCAAATTAGACATGGTCATGGCCAATATTAGTAGTTGGCATGTGGATCAAAAATTATTACTGTCTGGAATCATTAAGCAATAGGAAAGAATAGTTCTCAGCTTTTCAGTAGCCCCTGGACTATAATAATATTATAGTAGAGTAAAACTTTTTTTTCACATAATTATCAGAATCCTCAAGACAAAGACAATTATTTTAATTATATTCTGTAAAAATAGATTTTCAAAATTCCCCTTGCGTCTCTGGATAAATTATAGGGTTTAAAGGGAGTTTATACTTCATTTATGTGGAAAATTCACTTTTCATAAATTTGCTTTAATAATTTGGGATAAATGAGTTATTACATATCATACAGTGATTTTTCAAATAGTATTTTCTCTGTAGTTAACTTACATTGATTTCTTGTGAAATCTCCATCAGCCTTTTATTTCATTAAGTAAAGTAAGAAAATTAGGTAAATCAGATCTATGAAGGAACAAAATAGTAAGAAGCGGTGTCTGTATGCAGCAGGCATTCTTAATCTCTTCTGAGACCAACAAACCCTTCCTTATTTTTTGAAAACTCAAATTTGATTGACTGATAATCAGTCATGTATTGGTAATGGAATTTAATTTCCTTAGAAGTGCTCTATATTATAGAGAATTATGTGTTTCAGAGAATCTGTCTAAAATGTTCCATATCTATACAGCACATCTGTTTAAAAAATAACTAAAACATATTTATAATGTTTCACATAATAGTGTAATTCAGTAATTTAAAAATATTCTACATTTTTAAATATAAATCTTTAGTGATACATTTTATTTTCTTTTATTGGATAGCTATCACATTTGTGGTATATAAAAACTTTAATTCATTAAATGTTTATTTTATCAAGAATTTATGGATATATAATTTCAAGGTTAGGCATTTGATTGAATAGAAATTTTATATATATATATATATGTGTGTGTGTGTATGTATATGCATATATATTTATTTTAGTGGACCATTATTCATAAACAGTGTTTACAAGGTACTGCATTAATATGTCTATTTTTTTTTAAGCTGAGCCATCCTGCCACTGGTTGGCAGCTCAGCCACTGCTCAGCTCAGGCCGGGAATTGAACCGCTGTTGCTCAGAGCTCACACGCTTGAGCGAGCTCTTAACCAACTGAGCCACTCGGCCGGCCCATGTCTATTTTTATATGGTGCTATGTATGTTCACTTACTATATATATAATGTAAATGATGTGTTGTCCTAATTAAAAACTAAATTCAACATTTAACCAGTTATTTTTACTGAAAATATTTTAATCATGCGTATTGATTCCATATTTTATAAACTTCTGATGCTAATTAAAATTATAGTATTTAACTTGGATTTTTCAAATATATTTTAATGTGTTCAAGTTTTATAGTGAGCAGCTAAGAAAAAAATAGAATGAGACATAAGAATGCAGAAAAGTTCAAATTCTAAAATGTGTTAAAGTTTATTTTTGCAATGACCAGCATATTGGGTGTGTCTGACTCCTGCTGTCTTCTGAACAGAGTTCAGAAATTTACTGATAATATGACCCACCAATGTTAGATTATTTTGCATTCCAATACATTTCTTCATTCCCCTTGAAAGTGGAGAATTAGACCTAAAGCAAGTTATCACTAAAGAGGAAACTAAGTGTAAATACATTTATTTGTCATATATTTTATATGAAAGTATATAGAAACACATTACATACTTTTATATGCTCTGCAGGTAAATTTTCAGTTAATATGTATGGGAATGTTAGAAAAAGAACATCTAGAAATTGCATAAATTTGTGTTTGGCTTCAGTAATAGCCATTACATCTCCACTTATAATTGTTCCTTGAATAAAAATAGAAACAAGAAATGCATCCTATTTTGTTTTATGACCTAATTTGAAGTACACCATGCTTGCATTTCTTTTTAGAGTTCAAGCTCAGCTCTGAACATCCTAATCCCACTTTTGGTATCACCCTTGAGCATCCACAGTTGTGATTATCGATTTGGGTTTTGAAAGCTGCAACTTAATGGACACATATTAAAAGATATTCCAGGTGATATATATTAAGCCCAACAATCTCTAGTGTGGCATGCTTCCAAAGATTTTGTTGATACTATTATTTTGAAAACGATCAGAAGTTTGTAATGCATGTGCTTATAATGTATTACAAAATCAAATCTTTGATGCCCAAGTTGGTATTTTGTGATTGGGCTAAGCTAAAATTAAGGGGGTGGGAGGAGGCTAGATGTGCAGCCTGATGAAACGGCCTGATGCCTTTGCGCTTCAAATCACAAAATATCATTGAAAACAAATTTGTTCATACAACTTTTCACGCCATACTTGGGACTGTTGTGCTTGAGTATATCCTAGCATTTGTTCTTCATTAAAACGATTGATCTATACGTATTTGCTTTTTTTTTTTTTGCCAGAGGCATATGTGAATGTTCTAACTGCATGAGTTCTTTTGCGATCTTTGATTAGTGTGTTTAGTCCAAATGACAGCAATTAATTTGGGTTGTTAGCAATCAGGCCCCCCACACTCCAGCCCGTGTAAAAGTGACTTAATTTTTGAATGTGAATAATCGAAATCTGGGGCATGAAAAGAAAATGCAGTGAATGCAATGATGTTCTTTTATTTTAAGGTAGGAAAACACAGTACATGTACTTTCTTTCCGGAGACGAAGAGCCCAGGTCAATATTTGAAATTGCTTCTGTGTATGTAAATGAATAATAGTGTCTGGCCTTTATTACCAAACTGTGGTGTTGTCAAACTGTTACTTATCTGTTAAGTTTTGTGTTTATCTATTAGGATCTCAAAGAAAAAGAGAACGATGAGCTTGATATTCAGTTGAAAGTATTTGATGAGAACAAAGAAGATGACCTAACTGAATTATCACATCGTCTCAATGACATTCGAGCAGAAATGGAATATCCTTTTGACAAACCAGAAAAATCAGTTTTCATGTATTGTGAAAAAGGGATCTGTGGGTGATTTTGTGGACCATTATTAGCATTCTTGTGTGCCAGACCAATTTATATCCATTTATTTATATTAGAACCTCGCTGTGATGCTGTCCTTGAGACTCATGTTGAGGAACTGTCAGCCTGTCCTGATGATTTACACAGACTATATTGAAAAGTGCACAGTGGCTTGCTGTATTATAGATATAGTCTGTCTGCTCAATGGTCTTGAATAGAAAGGGCCTAAGGGAATATACCTCACACACAAAGATTTTGCGGGAAAAGTTCACTGAGTTCATATGTGACTATAGGTAATATGCTTTTTCAGTTTATTAAGTGGTACTGAGTTGTTTAGAGATATAATTCAATTGAAATTAATGTCTTATTCTCAATCCAAATATTTTGATTCCTTAGCAAAAAAAGAAATGTTTCGATGTGATAGTGTCTGACTCCAATGAGGCTGCATGGTAGAAGCATTTGAGTCAAATACAACTAGCAAATAATTTTCCTATAGCAGCGATTTTATATGAAATGATTTGAGATCTCAAAGATGGTTGTCATAGCATTGTTGGCCATTTGTTTTACTCCCATTAAATTTCTTACCTATGGATTCCTGGGAAATTAGGAAATAACTTCAGAGCCAAAATGATCTTTGAGCTGGACTTTTTCTCTATATCTTCTTTCGTCTTCCTCCTTCCCCGTCAAAAAAGCTGGAAGTAATATTCTCCTCCTTGAAACTCCCAGAGTACTTTGTTTATATCTGTCTTATTTATGTACACTTCTATGCACCTGTGAGATTGAGGGCAGAAATGTTCTATTTTATCTTTTTCCTCCAATGCTCCTATCGAAGTGTCTTACACACAAGTACTAGATAAATACAGAGGGTGCCCAAAAACTGTATACACATTTTAAGAAAGGAAAAAAACTGTATTAAAGCTGTAATACTCAACATATATCAATAAGAAAAGATGAATACAAGTCATGTGTATACATTTTTTCGCACCCATGCGTTCAATGAATAACAGTTTCATAACTCTAAGGGATAATTTCTCATCCATTAGTGATTCTAATTTACAATGGTTTCCATAGTATTAAATGCTTTTTATGTCAATTAATAAATATCTTGCTTTTTATAGATTTTTTTCTTATAATCAAACTTCACCATAAAGCTATTTTCAGATCTATTCTGTAGCCATTTAAAGGACCTTATGAGAGTTTAACACAACACTCTAACATGGGGATCTAAAAAGTAACCCATCATATACTTAATTCTGCTTCGGAGAAAATGTTGACATTTCAGGTTATTTTTAGGATGTTGGATTACATCTCCTTTTCTACTTTTCTTTTACATTGATTTTCCAGATCCATTTTTGAAACCTGTTTTCTAGTTTACTAAAAGCATTTAAACTTCTATTCTTATAGCCTAAGGAAAATGTTGCAAGTATCATTTTCTTTACCCTCCATCTTTTTTTAAATAATGAAATACAAATGAATGCAAACAATAACAATTTCATATTTAGTTCAGTATTTCATCTGTGTAAAATAAAACTGGTTTTGTGATCTTTTATCAGTCCACAGAATGCTCATTTGTCTTCTGTCTTATGTGCCAGTGAAAATAGAGGAGTAGTGGCTTTCATGAATAATATAGGTCCTCTCTCTATTACAACCACAGGAAGATCAAGAGAAAACCATTTTCATTAATGTCATTGCTGTAATGAGTAACTGATCATTTAAGGTTTTGATGGTTAAATGGTCTTGGAAATGCTCTTTAAGCCTTTTTCTCTCGTTAAAAGATTAAAGTGATTCCATAGATTAAATTTCTTTATGTATATGTTTAAATACTGGATCATGGAGTTGAAGGTTTAGAAACAGTAATAGAAACAAAATGACACATCAGTGAGTGAAACTTTCATCAAGAATCTTTGATATTTTTCCTTTACTGACTTCACTGATATGAATGAAATATACCATCTTCTGTATAATATGTTGAAGGATACAGCTGCTGAAAATTACTTATTATCCATTCTACAACATTTTCTGCTCATCCGAAATGATTATTATATAAGGTAAGAAGTAGTTCTAAGAGTACTATTTGTGTAATTTGAATTAGATATTAAAGGAAAATGAACAACGTAGGGGGGCGTAGATAGTGTATGCATTTATACATACATAGAGTGTAAGAGTTTGATGACTAAAAGGTAACATTTTTTAAACAGTGTTTATTTATTTTTAATTGGGCCAGAAGAATCTTACTTATAAAAATGGGGTACCCCAGTGAGACACAACTTTTAATAGCAATGAATCCAACAGATTTTACTGACTCCATGATGAATTTTCTTTGCTAGATTATGGTAGCATAGAGTGAGCACTGAAGTGTCTATGGTAGAACTTTTAAACTCTTCAACCTTTTAATAAGTAAGGTTTTACTGTTATTTCTATTTATCATATTTATAATAGATGTAATCTTATCTGAGAAAGTAATGGTAATGTTTCAGCTTTATGTTCAGTAATGTAATTTTTCAACAGAAATGAGTATGATAATAACCCATAGAGTTAGAAGTATTAGAGTAAGTTGTTGGGAATATATCTGAAAACCAGAAAGTTAGAGAAAGGTTTCTGAGTGACTGAAATTATCCATAAGCTGGTGACCATGATCTTATATTTACCTGTTCAAGAGACTCTTAGTTGTTCTTCCTACTCTAATGTGTCCGACATTCTGGCAACCTAGATTTCCTGATTTGTCAAAACATGCTTGATGAAAGGGACAAGGAAGGCTACTGTGGGGTCAGGTCCAGTTGCAACAAAAATGACTGTTCTAAAGCCACATCGAAACCATTAAAGCTCAGACCAGTACAGTAAACTGATGGGCATCATGATGTTACAGGGACATAGAAAAATGTTTAAAATACTAAATTTCATGCTGCTTCTTTAAAGCAGGAAAGATGCTAAATCATCTAAAATAAGTTCTGGAAATTAAAGGGGTACTGTGGCCATGTATGCACAGTTACCTGGGGAAATAATTTGGGTGAAACCAACCATTTCTCATTAACTTTGAATAAATGAGACTTATAATGTGACATGCTTTTTATCCTGAGAACATCCATGCAAGTTAGAAGTGTGACAAGCATTTATATTCTACTCAGGGATAGTTAACCTGTCCTCAAAGAGAACAATTGGATATTCTTTATTTAAACCAAGGAGCCATTGACTAGGCTGATTATAAGCCAATATTATTTACCCTAGACCTGATGATAACTTGAAAGAGCCTCAGATGTATAATCCAGAGGGTGCCCAAAAAAAGTATACACATTTTAAGAAAGGAAACAACTGTATTAAAATTGTAATAATATATACCAATAACAAAAGATGAATACAAGTCACGTGTATACATTTTTTTGGAACCCCCAGTTTTACTATTTATTCTTATTCTTCTGGAGACCAGCCCCATGACAGAAGACATATAAGGGGAATTAGAATCTGTTTGGCTTCATTTGCAAACTTGGTAGGTTGGCTAGTTATTAGCACACTAATTTTTAAGTTTATATCACATTTTGTCTATAGTAGTATTTCTTTCTGATTTTTCTATTAAATTTATTAGCCACTGATAAATACTACAATTTCCCCAAATATTAATGCAAAAAGTGCCTTTAAAAATTTTTTGAGGGCCGGCCGAGTGGCTCAGTTGGTTAAGAGCTTGCTCAAGAGTTTGAGCTCTGAGCAATAGCAGTTCGATGCCCGGCCCGAGCTGAGCAGCCGCTGAGCTGCCAACAGGTGGCAGGATGGCTCAGCTTTTTTTTTTTTTTTTTTGGGGAATCGGGGGAAGGGGAACAGACAAGTTGCTGTTGTTTTGTTCTTCAGTCTAGTTGTGGAGGATGTTGCTTCATGGGCCCAAGTTGGCACCATCATTGTGCTCTTCTCAGGAGAGGCAGATCAGTCGCCGGCTTCTGGACAGCTGCTCACAGCAGCCGCTGGCGCTCACGCTGGCTGCTGGCCGCTCACGCTGGCTGCTGGCTACACACGGTAGCCCATGGCAACCCACTACCACAGGGGTTGCAGCCTACGCCATCGCCTGCGACCCACGGCAGTCCAGCTCCAGGTTGAGCTGTTGTTCAGCATCTTAGCTGTAGAGGGCAGTGTCACTGGCCTTCATATGTGGGATCCGAACCGGGGCCCTCTGGCATCACAAGCCAGTTCTTAACCAACGCGCCAGTCGGCCGGCCCCCCAAAATTTTTTTTTGAAGTATCCAAGTTGTCATTTTTAAGGCCAGAATTACCTTGACAGATTACAGTGTTAGGATATGTTTTAAAACCTTTAACACTTTAAACAAATTGAGGCTATAGTCATGCATATTAAGTGTGTATTGCTTCTATAAAATGGATCTTTTAAAATACATGCATACATATTATATATCTGTGGAATAGTGTGCAACGTAAGTGACTCAGTCATGTTTTGTAAGCTGTTCTAGCTAATCTTGAGTAAAAGTACTGGAGTAAATTCAAGACATTGCTTGCCACCTAATGCCAAGATACTCATCCCTTAATCAAATTGAGAACTTGTAGAGTCCTAAAACCATCTCTATATCCAAGGATGTAGGACTAACAGGTCATTTGTTTTCATTAACTTTAAGAACAATAGCTAAGGAAGTAGATAAGGTTGATAAGTGTCTTTGTAGGCAAGCATGAATCTCTGCAAACTAGATTATTAAGTCACTAAGTGTTCACAGCTGATTACATCACAATGGGTTTTGCACTATAACATCCGGACCGTCTTTAACCTTAGGCGTATTTCTCCTAAGGAAGTGTAATGAGTAGAGAGATTTTTTTTTTTAAACAGCGCTAGGAAAAGACTTAGTTGTTTTATCCTGCTGAATCGCCACTTAAGGAAATTGATTTGTATAGGTAGGAAAGGTGTTCAACAATACTTTCTTTCTCTTTCAGGCCACAGTATTACAAAATAATTGAGGAGTGTGTCTCACAGATAGTGCTGCACTGCAGTGGTATGGACCCAGATTTCAAGTATAGACAAAGATTAGACATTGATTTAACTCATCTGATAGGTATGTAATATAATCCACCATGTCCTCTGTGTTTTACTCTCTTCTTTATAATAGGCTCTTTTTAAAGGTAGCCCTCACTGAACTTCCTCTATTAATAGCTGATAAATCATTGTGTCCATGGGTACTCAATCACTATCATTGTTCATTATGACCATGAGAGTTCTGCCAGTGTGATTGAAAATATTAACCTATTTGATAAGTTTCAACACTCTTGAATTCAATTTAAAATTAATATCCCTCAAAAAACCCCACATTGTATTATTATAGATGAATGCCTTGTTTCTTAGAAACACAACTCTGAAATCCTTTGATTCAGTTTATACCGGTACCTGGTGATTTTTGTAGAAATCTTGTGTGCAGTGGGGTCTAATTAGGAATTCAGTTATGTTATTAGTGTTGACAATTGAGAAAAGAAATACCGGCTTATTTCAGTAACTGAACCTTTTAATTCTAGCAAAGTAAGTCAATTTATATTTCATAGACTTTAGAGCTAGGTGGGAATTTGAGACAATCACGTTCATCTACTTGGATGGCTGAGGAAAGGACCTTATATCATCCTATACTGGTAGTTAGCTTTACTTTCAGGAACAGTCTCTGGATGATGTGAAACATCTGTTATGAGACAAGTTATGCTATCTGACCTTAGAGTTAAGCAATTTTATTTATACCTAATCGAAATCACTATTGCTAAGGTTCAAGCATGAACTCATTTGTCTTGTCTTTAAAGGAAGAAAACAACAGCTGTTGAATGCCAATTATATATTATTCTTTACTCCATAGCACAGAGCAAACTCACAGTAATATCCTTATTATTATCATCACATATTATTCTTTTCTGATTTTAAAACTCCTCCTCACTTACTCTAGGCAGTCTAGAGACTTTGGTAAGTGACAGAATAATCCACCAATGTCACTGTTCAGCTCAGTATGTTTCACCACTATTACCCACTTTTCAGTGCAGTACATTCTCTCTCTGCTAAATTTTCTTGGAGCATTTATATTATGAGACAGTTTCCATGTTAACCTTTAAAATGCGACTTTGAATGTCTGTATAATACTCCATGTTATGGAATACCGTCCTTATTGTCCATCTAGATTGTTTTCAGGTTTGCACTGTTTAAGTGAATCTCGTGTGAACATTCTTTGTACACATGTTTGGCCTTTTCTCATTATTTCCTCAGGATTGATTTCTGTAATTGAGGGTATGAACTTTGAAAGGCCAAATGTTTTTTAGAAAACGTGCACCAATTTACCTTGCCTAACAATGAATGTGAATGCTGATCTCACTGCATATTTTGCAGTGAGCTTGATAAACTCAGTAGTTTATTTCATATTTTGTTGAGAGGGTTATAATGGGCTATTTCCAAATATTTGTATTGGCTTTAATCTATTATAGACCATAGTTGGCACACATAGTCTACTGTTGATTTTGGCTAGCTCATTCAGTGTTCACAGACATTTGTTTTGTGTATTGTGTGCCGAGTACTTATAATTGTGTACCGTTCATCGAGAGCATTGGGGTGGAGAGAGCTTCATTGAGGTATACTGGACATGAGAAAAACCACCCATCTTTGAAGTGTACAATTTGATACATTTTGGTATTTATGTACTCAGACATTAAATACCATCATCACAGTCGAGATAATGAACATCTCTATCAGCCCCGAAAGTTTCTGCATTCTCCTTTGTAATCTCCCCTTCCCATGGCTCCCCACCTCTCCCATCCTGAGACAATTACTGATCTGCTTTCTCTTACTATAGTTTCATTTTATAAAATTTTATATAACTGGAAACGCACAACATGTACTCTCTTTTTGCCTGGCTTCTTTCATTCAACATAATGATTCTGAGATTCATTTATGTTCTTGTATTACATGTATCAATAGTTCATTCCTTTTTATAACTGAGTTGCATTCCAGTATATGGATAAACCGCAATTTCTTTATACATTTACTTGTTGATAGACTTTTGGGTCCTTTCTAATTTTTGGCTATTATAAATAAAGCTGCTATAACATTTATGTATTGGGTCGTTGGGAAAGTCATGACACATTTTTGCATTGAAAAACAGAAAAATACGTCATGACTTTCCCAATGGCCCAATACAAGTTTGGGTATAGAGGTATGTTTTTATTTCTTTGGGGTAAATAAATAGCTGTGGAATGGCTAGGTACACAAGAGACTGTATGCATAGTGATGAGACCATTGTCCAAAAGAGGGTCTTCAGTTATTTATATTCTGGAGTGTTTGATTAGATGGGAGAAGTTTGATATTTATTTCCTTATTTACATAATATATTCTGCTCCTGATCAGAAGTGATTTGAGCAAAGTCTTTCTTTAGGAAACCTGAATTAATGAATGTTATTGTATCTCTCCCTCAAGCCTTATTTTAAGGGTCATTTTGAGTCTTAATAATCTTAAGCATAGATTCTTTGGCACCACTCTACCCATAATAAACTACAAAACAATTTTTAAAGAATTCTGTAATTATAGAAGTTGCAGAATAATTGAATACCTTTAAAATGATGATGATTTAGTCAAATATATGCTTGGATGCTTGGTTTTGTGCCTCAACAGTACTGTCATTGAATTCAGGTAGTATGCAAAGAAAGGAAATGTGGTGGTTTATGTCTTATATGTAGTATAGGTCCGTTTCCCTTTAATAGCAATTGACATAAAAATGATTGTCTGCATAGTAGAATTATATAGGCTGGCAGCCATCTTTTGCCTAGAGATCTGATGCAATAATTTCTAATAATTTTTTGGTCAATCTTAATAGATTCTTGTGTGAACAAAGCAAAAGTTGAAGAAAGTGAACAAAAAGCAGTGGAATTTTCAAAGAAGGTAAAGCTTATAAAATATTGTTCATAACTGTTAATAATTTAATCAGACTATATATTGTTTCTTTATGTGAGGCCTTATAAATATTGTTTCAGTTACATAGTGCTTTATGTTTCTGAATTCAAACCTAACCACAGAATACTGATTTCTCTCCTGGTAAGATAAGGTTGCTACTGCTCCCTCCTTATCACCTTGAATCCATTATGGAAGAAAAATACTAGCCATATTCTGCTAAAGTGATAAATGAAATAAAATTAGGTTGCTGGAAGGATATAGTTAGAAGAAATCAACCAAAATGCATTCCTCCATTGCTTTCCAGCAACACTCACTTATAATAGGCAGCTCCTTGGAGAATTGTGAGATGTTTAGCTAGTTTTATTTGTTATACTGTAAAGTCAGTGCTATTGATAGCAACAGAATGATGCAGTGTTTTCTCTCCCTGTCTCTCTGCTTAGGCTTACCTTCTTTGAATTTTATAATTACAATTTTTTAAATGATGCTGCTTTGTGTAGATTTGGTGGAATTTGAGGTTCCCCTTATGTAAATGCCAGCTTTATGAATATCTTAATTTTATTTAGACCTCAAATTATTTTTTCCTTGTTTCATGAAAGCATAGTTACAATTTTATTAGCTTCTATCAAAAGTTCTCTTTTTTTTCCTAGACCCTATGAAGCCTTAGTATAGTATTTCTGTCCTGTTGGTGGCAGGAGAAGGCTTGAAGCACAAGTCTAAAAGCTCTCCAGTTTTCAGCCTTCTGACAGCAAGATAAAGTGCTTACATATTGCTGTCTCTTCAAAGTTATGACTTACCTTGGAGATTAGATAATCACTTTTGCTATCACTCTAGAAATTATAGAGTATTACTGAAGTTACTTCAGGGCATCTGAAGAAATGTCTTTGCTCTTTCAGTTACCAGAATAGATTTTTAAGAGCTTGAGCATAAAATGTTTGGGTGAAGCTGTCATTTTTATTGGTGAAAGAAAATGTACGCTTTTTGATTAATAGACCTTTATATTTCTAATGTTCCTGTTTTAAGTAGCACATTTCAAATTCCCTTTGAAAAATCTTAGAGTCTCCTGAATTTTTCGCTGGCACTGTGATTTGGCGCCACACGAATGGAGCAAATTGTGATGATCTTACCGGGAAAATGTTCTGCAAGCATATGTTACGGGAAAAGTAATCCTGAAATGATCAAAAAGAAATTTCAGTGTTTGATGCTTTATTCTCACCACCAGCGCTTAGAATGAAAACATGCGTGGTCTCCCAGTGGTTATCTGTATGCCTTCTCTTATTCTGGGTGATTTTATAAGGCAATATAAAATAGTAAAAAAGTGGGGAGGGGCTAGAATGAGAAGCAGGAGCTGTAATATCTGAGCTCAGTTTTTCCATTAATTAGCTGTGACTCTAAGTAAGCCAGTTACTCTCCTTGGATCTTAATTTCTTTGTTATTAAAAGGAGTGGAGAAGTTTAGTGGATTTGTAAGAAGTCTTCCAGCTCCCTTCTCTCCAGTTTCTCTGATTCCTTCTATGGGTTTACAGATAAAGATCATTTTAAATCACAAGCAGAGACATTGTGTGCCTCTCTTCAAATATACTAATAAAGAAACTGTTTGTAGAGGAAAACTGTACAGCGTGCTTGTGTAGGCACCATGCCTGAGAAGCACACAGGAGAAGCTAAGTTTGGGAGGGAGAGTGGGAGTACAGAATCAGATCCATCGTAACTCTAATAGTCATGAAGCCGAAAGCGCTCCATCCTCTCAGTGAGCTAGGAAACAAGGTCATTGGCTGACTGTGAAGGATCTGGGGTAGGTTTGAAATGTAAAGAGATTTGAGATGATTTGGACCAACCTCTGTGGGTCATCTTCCTGGGACTCAGCTAGAGGTGACTGAAAGAATGAATAAACAGTATTTCAGGTTTGATCCAAACACTATTGTTATCCAATTAGCTTTCACCCAGTCTTTCTTCAGACTTGGATCTGAGTGGCATTTTATAAATTCCAAAGGTCAAATCTATTGTGGGGATGAATATTTGTTAGTAGTGAACATTTTTTTATTGTTTCACAAACTCCAAAGGCAATTCTCGACAGTAAGATATATCAGTCTTAAAAAACAGATATAACGTCATTGGAATAATGTATAGACTTCTAAAATGGCTGGAAGTGATATTGACTATACAGGGCAAAAGTTCTGTAGCTGGACATAAGCAGTATTCACTCACGTATGCAGGCTGGTTTGGGCCTGCTTAGAGTCCTGACTGAGGTAAGGGCTGGGCATGATACAGTAAATGGATATTCACCGCTTAGATGGTCTCTTTGGTGTAGCACACTATAATTTAACCTCTTATTTCATGCAAGTGTTTCGGCTAAACATTCAAAGGAGAATGCCATTATGGTATATGTCATTCTACCGTCAGATTTTGTGGAGTACTACTTTTTGGATGCTAGACAATTAAGATTATAATAGAAATATTGTAATTTGTATTAATGTCCATCGTTTGAGCATTTGAAAAGTGCAATCTCTTTTCAAGATTAAATATACAGTAATACCTTGGTTTGCGAGCATAATTCGTTGCAGAAACAAACTACTTGTATTGCAAAGACATCGCTCGTTTACCATGTTAAAATGTATTAGGAGTGTTTGCTCGTCTTGTGAAACACTCGCAAACCACGTCAGTTGCAATCCAAGGTTTTACTGTATAGTTAAGGAGAAGAACGGCTGATGGCTATTTTTTTCAGTTTTTTTTTAACATATATATGTTTTTATTAGTTTGCAACAACATGGATGAACCTAGAGAATATTATGCTAAGTGAAATAAGTCAGACTGAGAAAGACAAATACCATGTGATGTCACGTATATGTGGAATCTAAAGAACAGAATAAACTAGCAAACAAAACAGAAACAGACTCAGAGATGCAGAGAAACAACTGATGGTTGCTAGATGGGTGGGGGTGGGGATGAGGGAGAAGGTAAAGGGATTCAAAAGGGCAAATTGGTTGTCACAATATAGTCACAGGGATGTGAAATACAGTATGGAGAATATAGTCAATAATGTTGATGGCTACTTTTCAGGTTTCGTTTTCTAATTGAATAAATTAAAAGTATGGGATGAAACATTTAAAAACATTAATAATTCTGAAACCTAACTTTCAATAACAAAAAAAAATATCCATTACATATGAAGATAGACTTCTTAGTTCACCCTTTAAAACTTTGTTTTGTCTTTCTTTACCTTGGGTTGGGGGCATGTCTCGTCTTTACTATAATACAGCCATAAGCAATACCCTACGCCCATCGGTAATTGTCATGAAAATAGTCAAGAGCTTATCGGTAATTGCCATGAAAATAATCAACAGCTCTGATTTTTTGAGTGACCTGGGAATTCAGGGAAGCAAGAGTCTTATTTAATACATAATGTTGTTTAAAGCTTTCTCAAAACTCTATTAATTATACATTTATGGTGGTGACCATTGCAGTTCGATGAAGAATTCATAGCTCGACAGGAAGCTCAAGCTGAACTTCAGAAAAGAGAAGAAAAAATCAAAGAACTTGAAACAGAAATCCAGCAACTTCGAACCCAGGTAATGAAACAAGATATAGACTTTGTGTCATGTCACAGCAAGTTCAGTGGTAGAAAATTATCTCGTTAGACGGAAGGAAAAAAGTGTGAGCAGAAGCAGACTTTTGGCAGTTTCACATTTTCGTTGAAATGACTCCAGATTTGATTTTCCAGGGCAATAAATCATTTTAATGTTTGGATAAAACTACTAGTTGCTTACACTGCCCTGAATAGTCTTAATGGAGTTGTGGGGGCTAAGAAAAAATGAATACTTTTCCTCCCATCTTCTGACTGCTTCTAGCTGGGCTAAAAATGAAATTAACAAAGACAGATTAACAGGAGAAAAATCAAAATTTAATGCATGCGCATGGGGAATTCACATAAGCATGAAAATTCCAAAGATAGTGAGGCAACATTGGGTATATATGACATTTTGGACAAAGGAAAAAAGTGGGGGATAGGGTCTTAGATTTCAGACTCGAGAAAGGGCGATTTACAGGTAATTGAGGAAGAGCTAACACAAATAGCAGGTAAATCCTTGCTGGACAACCCCAAAACAATGAGACACATTGAGACACATTCGGTATCTAGCTAACAGGCCCGCCCCCCTCCCCCCTCCCAAAGCCTTCCCATTTACTATACTTAATTCAAATTAGGCTTAAGTGAACATTTTAGGATTTCTTTCCTGAAGCAGGTTTTTCTGTCTGAATCTCTTGAATGGGGGAGTGAGGGGGAGGGTCAAAGGTTCTTTCTGTCTTGTGTCTTAATAAACAGCTTAAGATCAATATCTCCAAAAAGCAGCTTCAGGATGGCAAAACTTTGGTTCCCTTCAGAATATATTACATGAAACTGTTTCTGAGATGAAATTTTCATGATGATTTAAAAAATTAGATGCATAGTATTTTCTTTCAAAAATAACGTGAAAATGCGTCTTAATTTGAATTATCCCCAAAACGTTTTGAGATCTCTTTAAAACTTGACTACCCTAATTTCAAAACCCATACACTTTACATTTACGCTTACATTCCCTCTGATGAAAAGCTCCCATATACACTTAAAATCTTAATTATGGTGTCTGAACTTTAGAACTGATTAAGTACTCTCAACGCATTTTATGTTTTAAATGAAGACTAAGAAATGTAAGATAACTTCTTAACGTGGTTCAGGTGTTGGCTGATTGATTAGGCCTGTTTCCATCAGTCTACTGAACGATGCCTTCCAAGTCATCAGAGAACTCCAGATTACCCAATGCAGTGGCCCTTTCCTACCCTTAGCCTATTTCACTCACCTGTAATATTTGATCATTTCCTTTCACTAAATCTTTCTCTTTGGGCATCGTGTGACTTCCCTTTTTACATCTCTGAGAACTCAGTTTCTCTTCATGGTTTTGACCCCCCAGAATGATGACATTCCCCAGTGTTCTGTCCTCTGCTCTTTTCCCTCTCTGTCTCCTTGCACTAATATCCCATTCAGTGTTATCAGTTCAAATATCACCTTTTAGTAGGTGTCAAGTCTCCTGAGTTTGTCTTATATTCCCAGCTCTGGATGAGCTTCCCGCATGGGAAGGCTCTGCTGTATGTTGACATCTAACCATTATTTGTGGTCATCTCTATGTCCTCAAACCAGCTTGGTCTCCATTCTTACTTGTTTAAATGTTATCACCAATTTTTTTAATTGGGAAGCTGGAGTTTTCTTTGCCTTTTCCCTGCCCTTCCACCTGACACATGAAACTTGTCACTGTTTTATGTCAGTTCTTTCTCCCTTGCATCAAAGCTCCGAATCACCCAGGATCATTCTCATTACATCCTGCCTGGAATATCGCAATTGTTTCCTGACTTTTCTCCCTGCCTGTATAGTCTCTGCCTCCTCAGATTCATCCTTATTGTCAGTGGCAAATTAATCTCCCTAAAACACTGCCCTGATGACTGTCACTCAAGGCTTGAATATGTTCAATGGTTGCCTATTGCATTCAGGATTAAATAGAAATCTCCTTACCAGGAATTTGAAGGCCTTCTATCATGGGCTTCCTTATCTCCCCTTTGCAGCCGAGTGTTCTGACTGCTCCCCTAACTACAGCCTGTGTTGTGGCTAAGTCATCTTTCCTCCCTTCACATTTAGAATTGACTGTCTGCACACTTCCTTCTGCCTGCATTTCCAGACATTAGTTACAGAGATGCTAATAGGGTTTTCATGAGGAAAGCATTCCATAGTCCAATAATTTTGGTACATTTGAAATTCTCCTTTTGGAAATTCACGATACTCATTAGCATATTAAAGAGTCTGAGATGTCCTACATTGAAGAAACCTGTCTAACCCTTTTTTCATACAGTTTTCCCAAACTCATTTAACCACAGAACCCTTTATTTCAGACCCCCTATTAACATCTCCTGGGAAATCGTGTTTTCATGGAACTTAGTTGAGAAATGCTGACTTACATTATTCTCTTGTTAGAAATGCCCTCCCTTGCTCATATCTGCAAAACATATCCGTTAATGACAAGCTCAGTAAAATAATCTTTGGAAAGCTTCACCAAACAATCCATTAAGGAATTTCTGTGAACTGTTTTAAAAATTAAATTTATTGGGCTGAGATGATTAGTAAAATTATAATACATAGGTTTCAAGTGCGTGTTTCTATTATACATCATCTATATATCACACTGTTCTGTGAACTTCTATATCATTTTCATAGACCACTCATATCATATTTGTTTGTGTGCCTGCTTTGTTTCTTCCACTCGAGCATAAACACCTTCAGGACAGTTTCTTTATTTATTATTCTTATTCACAGGCCCTACGGCATCTAGCACAGGGCCTTACTTACCATTTAGTGAATAGTTGCTTATTTATTATTAAATTAACTAATCTGTAAAAGTGCAGAGTCACATAGTACTTTCTAGTGCACCCAAAATTGTGTTCAATATTAAATTATTCATTTGCCGTATTCAATTCTCAATATTCTATTGTAGCCTAATTTAATTGTTCCTTTCCTAATTGTCCATGGGAGGGAAGAAAAGGGCTGATATGATTTGATTTTTAAAGCCTGCTGGCATTTAATATAAACATTTGAGATTCTTTATTAAATTCATAAAATATGTATTTAACTTGAGTAAAATCCTATTTTAAAGTAGTAGCATTTTTGTGGTTGCACATGTTTCATATTATAAATATGATCTAATAAAGGCAAAATTTGATGTTTACAAACATGTATTACTTTCATTTTGCTGTGCACATTTCACCTTTTCAATTATGCAACAGATCCATTTGTACACAAAGTTTTTAGGGTAAATTACTAACATCTCAAACTTTTCAGAAAAATTATTTAAATTTTCCCCAGAATTTCTTGATCTCAATCAGCGTTGTAAAAATCAGACTGTTTTCTATAATTTTCCTGTGCTAAAAATAAAACGTAAAGCATTTTGCATTTTTTAATCCTATCTTTAGTTCTTTCTAATCAGGAGAGGATCGCATTCTACCAGAGGCTTGTCATTTGTGGTGTGAATGAACACTTTAGTTGTATATATGTAGATACACACATAAAAGTTCATATGCAAATAAAATATGTGGACAATGCACATTGAATAATAGAGAAACATTTTCCTGATTCTATCTATGATTGTTAATTTTTGATCTTGTAAATAGATAATCCTTTAAGTTGATTGTTCCAAAAATACGCTTCAACTGTTTACTTTATAAAGATATTTCTAAGTTTAGTTAGCACAGTTAAGGAGTCTTAGTAGGAAATTCATATTATTAGTGCAGATAAGAAGACTTGCTCTCCAAGTATAAATAACACTATACCAAGAAATTTCATTCGTTTTAAACTTTTCGTTTAGTAAATCTAATGTCATATTTTGATTACAGAAGGTGTCTGTCCATCAGTAGGAGTTTCCTAGTAATGTTTATAATAAACAACTTCACTTTTTTATTCATGTAGTTTGGAAAGTGAACCATTGTGATCAGTCATGGTTTAAAGAAAGAGCTACAAATTAATCATCAAAAAAGTAGACAATATGGACTACTGTATTCTCCTTCATCTGTTGTCTCTCATGTTAGAGAATGAGTTTGAAGTTACTTTCTGCTAGTAGAAATAAATTGTACTCTCTTCATAAACCAATCTGTGTGAATTAATTCCCCTCATGGCACATGACACCCATGTGTGAGGAGGCAGTCTGTTAGGAGACTGCACTGGGTATGAGAAGAACCACTTTCAAATCTCAATCACATTTCAGATTGTGGGACCTTTGGTTAGTCATTTAACCTTTTTTGTAGTTACAGTTTCCTCATCTATAAGCAGTGAGATAATGGTGAGATAAAAATGTGCTAACCACCCATAAAAATGTGCTACCCACCCATAAAAATGTGCTACCCACATTACAGGGTTATAATAAGAATGAAAAGAAATAATAGATGTAAAAACATTGATTAACATTAATATGCAAATGGATATTACTTAGTATTGATTATTGGTATTAGAAGACAGCTGAGTTACTGGCTCTCTGAGACAGTCTCTTTGTGTAAAGCTTATTGGCTCCAAGAGAATCAAATTTATGACCTTTTATGTATTAGTTATCTCATGTTTAAACCAACTAGTCTAACAGGCCCCAGCCCTATATAATACTTCTTTGCATATGCTTATAATAAAAGGCATTGCTTCATTATTTTGGAGGAGTGTTTCACAAAATCTTTGAGGGTGCCAACTTTCCTAGCATTAGCGTGGTAGCAAAAGTAGTCAATGTCCAGAGTTTTGAATGCTTATCAAAAATCTACGTCTTTTTTATCAACTGTTAAGGCTTTTGATGTTGCTAAGTTAAATAAGTGCATCCAATGTTAAAGAAAGCACAAATGTATACTGCTAAGTTTTCTTTGCTGCTGTATTTTCCTGTAAGCATTGAAACATTGGGTTATGTCTCTTTCAGGGACATGGACTCTCAGGTTCTTCAGGAATTTCCGGTGTTCCTCCATTGTCAGGTGTGGTTCCACCACCCCCACCACCACCACCACCTCTATTCGGAGGATCACTCCCTCCCCCTTCTGCCCCGCCTTTACCTGAAATGACTGGTTGTATACCACCACCACCACCACCACCACCACCTTTGTTTGGCGGACCTCCTCCACCACCCCCTCTTGGAGGAGTTCCTCCTCCCCCAGGAGCACCAGTTGATCTGCCTTATGGAATGAAGCAGAAAAAAGTATATAAACCTGAGGTGTCCATGAAGAGAATCAATTGGCCAAAGGTAATACTACGACTAGAATGTTTTGGCTTTGTCTAGACACAGTTGATCATTACTGTGTGAATAACTGTATTGCTAAGTGTAAGTATTCTATAATGTTTGAGAACATGACTCCTGACTCTGTTTTCTTTTCTGAGTTCACCGTCCTGTGTTCATCTTTCTGTCTGTCTAGTGCCTAGAGAATTGGAAACTCCGCAGATAAGTTGAAATTAATGTATAAAGGAAAAGGAAAATCAAAGTGAAAGTAGTCTTAGAGAATAATACATGCAATATATCATCAAATAAAAACGAATTTTGATTCTTTTACCATTTTTAACTTTAACATGTGTACTAGAACATTTGGAAATATAGTCTTTTTATTGAGCCTTTTTATCTTAGTTATTTTTGTTCCTAGAGAATGATTTTTTTCTTAGTTTTAAACTTTCAGATAGTGTTGGATAGGTGATAGTATTCAGTAGTGACATAACCTATTTTTTATATGACGTATGACAATTTTTTCTTTTGAATGTTATTTTGCTTTAATATTATCAAAAGCATGTCTTGAAAAAAGCTTCTTATCAAGATTGAAACAGCCCTCATTCACTGGGAACTAATTTTCTAATGAAAATACAATTACCTAGACCACCATTTGGGGAAATGACTCATCTAAGAACATACTTACAGTGATATCTGACAGTATCTACACAGTAAATTGGTTTGGCCAGAATAATGGTTAAATCAGTTTTAAAGTTAAGCATATACTTATGTTTTGGTCATAAAAGTAAATGAAGTGTAGATGGTTTTAGAATGTAGTTTTTTTAGTTTCTTCTTTTTTATAAATCATGTACAATCCACCTAACTATAGGATCCAAAATTTCTGTTGGTCCACTGTGTGTAAATGTAATGACGTGTTAACAATTTACAGTAGCATACAGTGTAATAGTACTTACATATCACAAAGCATCATGATTTACTGGAAAACACACAGTTCTAATCTTGGGTTTCAGTGTAGTGGCTAAAAGCCCAATTTTCTAGAGTTACAGTGCCTGGGTTTAAAACCCCATCTTTGCGATTTTCTAGTTTGGGCAGCCTCTTAAACTTTCTGGGTCTCAGTTTCCTCATCTTTAACATGGAGATAATACTAGGTCCTGCCTCAAAGGGTTAGATTAGATGAGTTAATATATCAAACCACTTAAAACAGTGCAGGGCACATGGTAGGAGGCATGTGTCAACAATTATTATGGTTACTGCCTTTAACCCAGTCAGTGAACATGGATTCTCTATGTTTACTTTGAATCTCAGTTTCCCCATTTTTAAGAATCCAAGAGTAAGTTGAGTACATAAAAGTTGGGGAGGGATTTACTAAATTATTTTTAAGGTTCCTTCCATAGAAATTTTTTTTCAGTTGAAGATTTTTTTAAAATGTAAATTGCTATGTGGCCTATTGCTATCATGTACCTTTTCTATATACTGATAGAATTCTGTGACTTTCTCAATGATTATTTACTTAAAAGTGTTATTTTGATAGATCCTAACATTGATTTATTAGGTAGATGAATAAAGGAACTGTCATTCAACCTTGGTTAAAGTGAATTCTTTGAAAAATTAAATATGCAGTAATACCTTAGAAACTTATCTTTCTTATTTTTGTTTCAGATTGAACCCAGAGAATTATCTGAGAACTGTTTCTGGTTAAAAGTTAAGGAGGACAAGTTTGAAAATCCAGATCTCTTTGCAAAACTGGCACTGAATTTTGCTACCCAGATAAAAGGTACCTTTTATTTTTTAAATATGAATTATTTATCCTGATATACTGAATTTGGTGCTTTGCTAAAACTTCTAGTGATGTATACATGTCATCTTTCCACATTGGACAGAGTCAAACATAAGTAGATTAACATATTAAGTGTATTTACCCAGCAATTAAAGAAGGACAACTCTTTTTTCTTTAAATTTTCTTTTGCCTAAATATTATTATACATCTGAAAATGTGGGTTTTATTTTTATTGTTTAATATGTGAGTTATACTCCCCGATTTTAAGGTTAACATTTTTACTAAGAAGCAGAGGAGATGCATTTGTTATTCACCGTGTAAGAGAAAATAATGTAACAGAATACTAGTGGCTCAGAGTTTTCATGATATTGGAATGAGGTTGGAGTCATAGTGCTTAAATAGTTTTTCCTCTTATATTTGTACTACTTATCAATTTGGTTTTCCTAGTAGGTTTTATAGTTTTTTTCTATGAGCAGATTTTTCCGGAGTCGATTCAAAATCTGGTACCTGATCAGTATATTTGACTGATTTGATAATAGAGTACCTTGTTTAGGATTAGATCCTTAGCCTCTTGCGAATTTCACACATACTTTTGGTGTTATGTAGGTAACGTCTCAAGCTCATAAACAAACATTATGGTTTGTGAATTTTTGGTATTTTGTATTAACATTACTACTGTACTAATTATTGCAGCGTTGGTAATTTAGTTAAGCGTAGGATTTTTTCAGTCTGAATGAATCTTTACAACTAAGAAATTGATGCATTCCATATACCCATGCCGTTGAAATTAGCACCTTTATCATAAATTTGACTCATTTGACACAACATGCCCTAGCATATGAAAATGTGAATTTTGGAAGATTCAGAGGGGGGGGGGAATTATTCCTTTTCAGCCCTTCTATCATATCTCGCACACTGGAGGTCCTTGTGCTGTATTTGTTGTTACTTGTAGATTGAATTTCACACACACACACACACACACACACACACAGACACAGAGAGAGAGAGAGAGAGAGAGAGAGAGAGAGAGAGAGAGAGAGAGAGAGAGAGAGAAATCTAGGGGCATTAGAGTACTCTGAGGAATTTTGACATTTAAAAAAATTCCTGTCATTAGGTCTTTTTTTTCTTCTTATTTGCTATTGTAGACCTCACATTTAAAGGGTTCTTCAGTGACTGCTGAGATTACTATTTATTATAATCACTTTTTTAAATTGAAAAAGTAAAACATGCTCATATTAAGGTATTCATGTAGTAAAAAATAAATGCATGGTAAACATATCTCTTCAATTCCAGACTTACAGCTTTTTCCTCAGAGAGTACCACTCTTACTAATTTCTCACATTGCCTGCTGGAAATAGTCTATACTTCTAGTCGCGTATGTGTATTGATCATTTTTTTTTCTGCTTCTTGCTGTTTTCACTTTATGTTCTTAGATATTATTCCATAATAGTTTATGTTTATCTACTGTGTTCTTCTCACATACTGCACAGCATTCTGTGATCTGGGCCTATTTTAATTTATTTAATGGGTACCCAATATGGTTATTGAGATTAGTTCTAATCTTTCGCTATTTCAACCAATGCTTCAGTGAACATATCTTTGTGCACATAGGATCTATCTGTAGGATAAATTCCAGAAGTGAAATTCCTGTATAACATGCTATTATATTTATAATTTTCATAGATAATAACCAAATTGCCTTTCAAAGAATTTGTGTCCATTTATAGTAACACCTAAAATATTTATGCATATCTGTTTCCCACAACCGTTGCCCATCTCAGAGGTGAACATGGTAATCATCCATGGTAAAATTTTTACTTATTAAATTTGGAGTAAAGTTGAGCTTTTCTTCTATTCATAGGCAATTTAAATTTCTTTTTTCTGTGAACTTTTCCATCCAGTTCATTTGTATTGAGCAGTTGCTCTTTTACTTATTGATGTATTTGTATTGAGTTCCCACAAGAATCATAGGTTTCATAAAATTTAGCGTTAGTCTGGACTGTAGAAGTGACTCTATTTTACAAATGAAGAAAGTGAAGTATAAAATCCATTAGAGAGTTTAAAAGGTAGTGTGGCATAATGGGAAAAGCCAGAGGAAATGGAGTCACACATATCTGCGTTCCAGCTGTGCTACTTGTAACCTCTGAGACTGAATTTTCTCATCCTTAAAATGAGTAGACTAATGTTTACCTAGTAGTGTTGTGAGAATTAAATAAGGTTATATATTTAAAGCACCCAGCACAGTGCTTAGCATAGCAGGAACTCAATAAATATTAATTCCCCTTTCCCTTTCATTTAACATGCTGTTGTGTGTGTGCGCACACATGTGTTTTGTTTTAGTTATTAACACTCAGTACAACTGTTAATTCAGCAAGACAATTTCCTGCTCTTCTGAGCAGCGCTTGGTAGAGCCAATCAGTTACAATAGAAGCAATTCTTACTGTGGCTGCTAAAACCTAATGAAACCAAAGTAAAACGAAACAAAAAAATCATACAAAGGCTCTCATGCACTCGCTGCCAAGAATACTGCATTTCTTCCATGCCTTGTAAGTCTGATTCTGTGAATTTTCTGTGCAATACTACTATGACTTCTTTCCTAACGAATGAGTACAGATTAGGTCAGTAACACCTATTAGTACCGTTACTTTTACTAAGATTTATTTCTTAAAGGACATTTAAAGGAACAATTAAGCATCATAGCATATTCCAGACATGCATAATGTAGCCAAAACAAATTGAGATGCTACAAAACTGCTATTTATTTTCATACCAGTTAATACCTATTGATTGATCTTACTGTAATATCTGAAGTTCGTTGTCACTCACAGTGCCTTGATTTACAGTTCGGTCAATAGGTGGCAGGATCAGTAAGAAATCAGCAAGAGCCTCCCCCTTGTCCCCTGGTATTTCTAGCTCTGGGGTGTCCTTTTCTTCCCCATTCTGCTGTTGCTGGCCAGTCACTCAGCTACATTCCGGAAGGAGTGACAATCTCATTGTTTCTAAGACCTATTTCCAATGCTCTTAGACGCAGTGTTCTAAAACCTCTCTGAATATCTTCCTACTGCAAGAGCTTTAGAGAGCTCACGGCTCTGTGTGCCCGAAATACGTTGTAAAGCATTACTGGTCTGTGTTTTATGAAAATGTTTAACTTAGGAGTTTAAAGTTGCTTTGGATTGCTAAATAGGAAGTTTTAAAATACTCTAGCTCTGATACCTGTAATATTGAAATGTGTAAATAAATATTTCATATGGGAGAGTACCATTAAATTACACTTTCTATTCGCATTCCTTAGACTCATAGAGAAATTTATTTTTAATTTTCCATTATAAACCAAATTATTTTAGGAGAGAATGGATCCTCAATTCATTTAATTTCTATTTGTAGTGTTCCCACCATGTGCAAGGTACCATACTAAGTCAGAGGGCGAAGAATGAATAAGGTCTTTTTCTTGTACCAGGACACTCATCACTTAGTGAATGAGAGAGGAAGAGGTGCACTACACTTAATCAAGTTTATTCAAGATTAACACAGATGTTTTTTAAAAGCTATAGCAGCACAAAGTAGAAATAGTTAGTTTTGAGTAAGGCAAAGGGAGATCACAGAGGTGGTATAATTTGAGCTGGGCCTAGAAATATATATACTGGGTGTGCCCAAAAAAGTATATACATTTTAAGAGATGTTAACACTTTGGTCCATGTTGCTGAAGCAGTAGTTCACAGCAATCAGAAGTATCTGGACACTGATGGTAACCACTTTGAGCACCTTTTATAATTGCAGAAGTCAAACATGACTTGAATTCATCTTTTGTTATCAGTTTATATTAATACAGTTTTTTCCTTTCTTAAAATGTGTATACATTTTTTGGCACCCGCTGTATTTTTAGTTTATTGGAGTGACAAAGGTTAGTAAAATTACATAGGTTTCAAGTGTACAATTCTATATACATCATTTATATATCACATTGTGTGCCCACCACCCAGAGTCAATTCTCCTCCCATCACCATATATTTGACCCCCTTGACCCTCAACTACCACCCCCTCCCCCTTACCCTCTGGTAACCACTAAACTGCTGTCTGTGTCTGTATTTGTTCCTTTGTTTGCCTGTCTCGTTCCTTTGTTACTTTCACTTTTGTGTCCCACATGTGAGTAAAGTCATATGGCTCTCGACTTTTTCTGTAGATATTTTAAGTAGAATTCTAATAGGGGAAGAAAGAAAGAAGGCATTCTAGGCAAAGAACACCATTAGCAAAGTATGGGGGTAGGGCAGTCAAGTGCATACTGTGTTGAAAGCATAGCCTGTGGGTTGGGACTTGGGGGTGAAGGTGGTACGGTGAACTTCACACTGAGGAAATGGGGTTTTGTTCTTTATGCATTAGGGGCCCAATAATTTCATGATTAACCATTGAGCAGGTATTTGGCAGACAGATAGGTAATGGGGATTCACAGACAGGCGATGGAGCATTGATTGCGAATAACTACCAGTAGGCAAGATATGATGGTCTCCTGACCAGAACGAATTCTTAATCTCTGTATTCCCATGCTTATAATTCTTAGGTCCTTCTTGCAAGCCATAATGTGCTATATGACAAAATATATCTCAAAATGCTCTTTAGATAAATGCAAAAACAATTACATATCTATTTAAGAGGCAACTGGAAAAGGCCCCATTAGTACTTTTAAATATACATCATACCTGAAGCTGTTAGAATTTGTATGTGTGTATTAGTTTTATTTATTATTTGATTTGATATTTGGCAACAATAAACATCAAGGCTGTAATAATAGTGTCATTTTCCTTAAAAATCTATAGTAATTATAGATAATAGTGATGTTATAGAAGAGTTAAAGTAATGATGGCTAATATTAACTAAACTTGAAATAATAATAAAATATGTGGGTTATAACTGCTAATTCTAATTAGAATTTCTAGGGTTCTCTAGAGGCTTCAGGAAGAACAAAGAGTGTGTGTGGAGGTTGTAAGCAATTCTTGGTTTTA